GGGGATACCAACGTGCCCTTTTCCCCAGGAGAGCTGCTGGCTGTGCTGGCTGCTCACAGCTCCTTCACTGGTGCCTTTGCAGCTGATGGGCACTGTGTCCCTGTGTGGTCACTGCAGGTGGCTCTCAGGAGATGGGSACAGCGGGCACACAAAGCTGTCTTTGGGGTGGAAATCGCTGAGAGCCCTTGCAAAGCTTCTGAGCCAGACACTGTTAGTGTGGCCCCACAGCCCCTTCGAGGGGGGTTTGGAGGAAGCTGATTCAACCTTTCCCCTGAGAGATCTCTGCTGTGCCCAGGGGCTCTCAGAGGAGCTGTGCTTCAGTGGCAGGGCCCAGCTCTGCTGGGCAAACCCAGCACTCAGACTGAAGATCCCAAAAGATCCCAAACCCTGGCTCTGCTGGGCAAACCCAGCACTCAGACTGAAGTTCCCAAAAGATCCCAAACCGTGGCTCTGCTGTAGGCACTGCTTTCCCTTTGAAGGATGTTTGAGTGCATCCCCAGCCCAGCACTGAGGAGCTGGGGGGTCTCTCCACGTGCCAAAGCACCTTCTGCTTCTCCAAGAGGTGCAAGCAGAGCAGGAGCACAGGTAGAGCACCGGAGGAGCTGCAGCATTACCTGGAGCCGGGCYCTGAGGCCGTGGATGTCGCAGGTGTCCCCCAGGGCCGCCTGCAGGGTGTGGGTGACCACGCAGCTCATGCAGCCCCGGCGGCTCTGGGACACCTGGGCCGCCTCAGTGTCACTGAGCAGAGCGTGGCAGATGGCCTGGGGCAGCAGCTCGGGGTCAGCAAAGATGAAAATCCTGGGGGCAGGAGGGTGGGGAGAGAGGGACAGAGAGGAGGTGTGGAGTCAGCACTGCTGGTGTCAGGGCTGGCAGGAGCAGCTCACACCTCAATTGTGCTGTTGATATTCCCCTTCTCGACCCCTCCCAGGTGTCCCCTCCAAGGGAAGCTCCCTGCCTCCCAAAATAATTTGGGACATGGGAGGAATGTGTCCCTCCCCTCGTTTAGTGAGGTACTGGGTGTCACCCCATTGTGTCCCCCAAGACCAGCAGGGTTTGGGTGCAGATCACTTGTTCCATCCAGATTAATTCAGAGTGTTGGGAAAGGACAGATTTCCCTCAGAGACCCCAAAACAAAAGCAGCAAGCCCTCCCAAGAGGCCCCACTCACTTGTCCTGGTAAGGATAGGGATCACTGCAGAGGCTTTGCTCAGAAATGACCATTCTTTGGTACAGGGTTCCTGCAAGGGACAAACACGTGGGGTCACAGCAGCAGCAGGGAACACAGCCCTTGGGGCCAATCCAGCTGCACAGGCTGAGAGGGCTCTGCCAAGTCAGGGATCACCCACTGAGATGAGAAAAAACAGCCAAGAGTTGGGCCACAGCTAAAAATAGCCAAGGACAGAGGCCAGGCTCCAAAAAAAGAAACCCCTTCCCTTCAGGGGTGATTTCCTGTGTTTCCCTTCCTTTGTTTGGGGCATCATGAGCTCGGGAGCGCAGGGGGAAGCAAAAGGACAAGCCCTGCTGCTGGCCTGTCCCCAAGGCCACGTGGGGACGGTGTTTGGGGGAATCTGAGGGGCACCAGGGACCTCTGGGTCAGCACAGAGGTACCTCAGCCTCCCCCAGTTCTGGGGGAATCCATCCCCCTGCCCTGGCCCAGGGACAATYCCCCAGTGAGCCCCCTGGAGATCCCCTCTCTCCTCACTGAACCAAAAATCAGGGGAGAAAAAGGCAGATCCTGGAGCTGCAGACCAAGCAGTGCTGGGGAACAGGAGTCAGGGTGATGGGGGTGGGCTGGGCCTTCCAAAAATGGCACCAAAATCCCGCCCAGATCTCTCCTGTTTCACCTCCCCGTCACAGGGTGTCTGCACCTTGCTCTGCTTTAAAGGATTGCCCTGAAAGGCTCCTGCAAAAGAAAACTTAATTAAGGGAGAATTTTAATGAGAACAGAGAAAAAGTACCCAGAGGAAAAGGAAAGCAGGTGTCCTCGGGCTGGCTTCCTACACGGGGCTGTTCCTGCAGCCCCCACTGCCACCTCAGTGTCCACAGCCCAGGGGAGAGCCCAGGCTGCTCTGAGGCTCAGGCTCAGGTGGAAAATTCACTCTGCAAGAAGAACTCCTCAAAATGCACTGGGATGTCCAGGCTGGGAGCAGAACATTGGGTTTCCCATACAGACAGAGAGTATGTGTGTGTATATATACATATGTATATATATATATATATATTTATATGTCTATTTATATATATATATTTATATTTGCATATCTGGCCTTAGATGGGCTCTGGTGTGCCCACACCAAGAGCAGGATGACCCCAAGTTTTCCTGCTGGTAACTGAGACAGGAGAGGGAAGCCCTCCCACCCAAACACATCCCCAGGACACCAAGGCTTGTCCAGTCCCACAGAAATCCCTGCCACAGCTCAGTGCATCAGGCAAAGGCACTTCAGGTGTGGAAATSCCCCCAAACCCTGCAGAATGAGCTGGCTTTGACCGGGCTTTGAGCTG